CACACACACACACACACACACACACACACACACACACACACACACACACACACACAGAATGTGCGATTGAGGGGGGGAGATGCACACACAGAGAGACTCACACACGTCCTTAAAAATCCGAAAGCTTTGTGTTAAAGCATATATAAATTGATGTAGATCTCAGAGGAAGAACAAAACTTGTGTCGCCATTTACGGCTAGGATGCGCGCATGTCATCCATACCATGGATGCTACCTACAAGCCTGTAGATAACCAGTCAGCGTTTCCGGCCCCTTTCTCTCGCCTTCTTCTTCTTCTTCTTCACTGCTTTGGGAACCTTTTCCTTCCTTGATTCACGCCTCTCCGCCTTAACCGCCTTCTTATGCTCCTTCCTTGCAGCTTTTCTATCCTCTCGACTTTCGCCGACCTTCCCCTTCGTCCGCTGTGTCGAACCTTCTCCATCGCTTTCTTCGCCCTCAGAGCTGTCCTCATCTTCACCACTTCCGCTCACACTGCTTTCATCCTCGCAACTAGCATCTCCACCTCCCATCTCACACCTCTCCCCATCTCCACCTCCCATCTCACACCTCTCCCCATTCTCCTCTGCCTTATGATGCTGCTCATCAGATACCACAGTCGCCAAAGGCGAAAGATCTTCTGCATTCCACCTGCCTTTGTCCTGCTGTACGTCTATGCCCTCGCCAGAACTCCGTGTGAAAGCCAACTTTCCGTCCTCCGCTTGTCTTTCTCCTCCCACTCCGTCACCATCGCCTCCCCCCGCTCCACGTCCTCCATTCCCTTCATCTCTGCATTTCTCTGATTTTTGCTTCGCCTCCAAAAGCGCCGGCTTTTGTCGAACTCCTGATAAATCATCCTTTAAACCGACAAGTGTTTGATAGTAGATGCCCTCCAAGTCTTTTCCACTCGCGATTCGTTCTGCGTCGCGCTCATGGTTCACCACTTGTTCCAATGTACGCGGAATGAAGGCCTGCAAAAAAACAAGGAAATCCACGCCCACCAAAACCGCTAAGTACCAACATGGCGAGTCCGCACGAAACCACAGACAAGCAATCAATCAAAGGAAGGAAAAGACGGAACGACGAGCCCCTGGGCAACCTGTCTATATGCCCCTATATTTCTGGCCGTTGGGGGGACTTTTTCCACGTCTCTGTGGCCATAATTGCGGTCAGGTGCATCCACGGCGGTTCGAGAAAACAGTCGTATACGTCCAGCAATGAGTATGAACTGAGAAAACAGTCGTAGAGAGTCTAGAGACTTCTGAGCCCATCCTGTTTTTCTTTTTTCCTTTTTTTCAAAAAAAGTCAGTAGGAACAACTCCGAACTTAAGAATTTCAAATTTGGACCATTTCTCAATTTATGCGCCTCATCCTTGCGCAGGGGTCAGGCTAATTAATAATTATTATTCATTAATATTTTATTATTATTATCTACATCGTTCCATCCATTCAAAACCGGAATGATACTGAGACAAAGATTAGCATGGGGCAAGGATGACTCGTGCGAACCGAGAAATGGCTCAAATGACAAATTATTTATTATAAAAAAAAAAAAAAAAAAAAAAAAAAAAAAAAACCGGCTCAAATAAATATAAATTATGCTCTCGTCGGTCAGCAATCACGAGTAGGAGTGCATTCTGATCAGCGTCAATGATCCATTCATCCATTCATTTTTCAGTCACAAGTTCATAACAGCAAGAAGAAGACATTATAGCAAGCAGGGCTCCAAGCCTATATCCTAGCGCGGCTTGTGTTTAGAAACGTTTTTTAGATTCTTTAGAATCTTTTCTAGATTCTCTTAGAATCTTAAGGTCACAGAAAAACTGTGGATAAGTTGTGACATGCAGCACCCCATAGTTGTACTGACATAAGTACGAGGCCCTCGCTCCACTACACATCTTACATGTATCTGGACTACGTTCCGGACAAAAAATACATTCAAACTGATCGAACAATTTCAATGTGTGGGGACCACTACCAGGTCAAGATACACTCCACTACTCCACATTTTACAAGTACCTGGACCATGTGTCAGACAAAATACATTCACAGTTCAAACTGATCCAACATTTTCAATATACACCACCAGGTCAAGGTACATTGTGCAAAGCACCTCGCAACCACTCAACATTCTACTTGCGTCCCTTCTCAATGCGAGTCCAAAGCATCTGGCGACGCCTTTCGACACTCTCCCTCAGCCCTCACTTTGTACCTGAACAGTCTTGCAATTCCCTCCACAAAGCCTTTGCGCACCCCTCCCTCCCCCCCTTCATCCCTCTTTCACGTAAAGCACACCCCTTCCCCCACTTCCCTCCACCTTTAAAGCATCAGAGGATGCCTGCAAACGATTCCCCCTCCCTCTCCCCATTGGCAAAAGCAACTTGTACCCTTCCTTGAAACTCACCTTTTCCTCCTCCCTCCCGCACCCCCCACCCCCATTACTGCGAAGCCCCTTGCAGCTACCGCTAACACCCTCCCCCCCTCTCCCGTGCAAAACATCTTGCCACCAGCTGCACTCTGGAGGCAGGACTACGGCTGCAATGACTCTGGTCATTGTCACTGCATCTAGACCTAAAGTTGCCCCAAATACGCTGCGGTCCAAGTTCTGTGGCCAAAGACTTCGGCTGCAATGACTCTGGTCGGTTCGATGGTCCACCAGATGGAGACCCCGGAAAACACACAAACAAACACACACACACACGAAAAAAAAAAGAAAAAAGAAAAAAAAAAGGAACTTACTTGTCGAAACACTGCCTCCTTGACTTTTTCTTCCGCAGATGGTTCGATAGCTCGATTCTTAATCCTCGCTTGAGCCTGTGGTTAATGAAAAGCATCAAGACGAACGATGTGCAAAGCAATCAATTGCAAAATCAACTACTGCGCCGTCAAGACGCAAGACCAAGAATGTGCAAAGAACGCAACAATCGGAAATCAACAGTTCGATTGCTGATCCTGACTTGAGCTTGTGGTTAATCAAGCATCGAGGCGATGGTCGGACTGGCAGAGGCAGCAAAGGGGTTCAGTCAGATGCACAAGATGAACGATCTTTCCACATCCATGTTTGTGCTCGCCTCAGAACGCGAACACGATGCTACGCAGGTGCAAAAGAATGCAAATTGGAAAATTCAAACTTACATCTTTTTTTTTTCTTTTTTCTTTTTTTTGTTTAAAAATTTGGACCATTTCTCGATTTATGCGTGTCATCCTTGCGCAGGGGCCATGCTAATCTTCTCTGTATCGTTCCAATTTTAACGGATGTCCAAAGAACTTACTTAATTCTGCATCAAGACTCGAGACCAAAAATGCCCAAAGAACGCAGTCGGGCAATCGACCATCCATACTCCACTACATATCAATATACAAACTCAATGCAACAGCTCTGATTCCATCCATGGAAGACTATGCGCATGCGCATGTAGGGGGGAACAAAAAGGCGGCTGGGCAAGGGAAAGTGCAACGAATATGAGCGAGAGCGATAGACAGAAATCCAAGTTGCAGAATCACAAAGTAGTCCAGATAGTCATGTACCAAGCAGAGAGCACAGTGCACCAAGATACCATCCAATTAAGAGCAATAAAAATGAACTCGAGTGCCAATGCCGACCTCCTAGCCGAAGACCACCATCGCCATCGCCTGTACCACCCGCACGCTCGGTCCGGTTACGGCCGCCGTGCGCCTGCTGCCACAGCAGCGCCCTCTCACCTCTTGGCCCTCGCGTGCACCCTGGCCAGCAGCGCTAGCGCAGCTGCTTGTACGACAGCGCAGCAGTGTGGCCGCATTGCCTGTGCAGGCCAGAATGCCCTTGCCTGGCCAGGACACTTTCCTTTATGGAAAGTGCGGCCCTGTGTCTGGCTGCATGGGCCTGGCTGGGGAACTTTCCAGTAGCTTCCAGTCGGGCCCCAGCATCTGCACCCAGGCCCACCTCTGCTGCTTCGGGCCTGGGCCCTTAACAGTTGGGCACATCCAGGCTCCAAGCGTTTGCCGCATTCTCGTTGGCCCGTGGAGGTTGTGTGACGAAGATGCTGCTTTCTCATTCGTCCGCGGCCAGTGTGTGATGTGTCGGCCTGTCGGCCTCCCAATGCGTGTGCCCAGGGCGCAACCAACCGGGGCCCTGGGCTCAACTGTGCAGCGCAGCTGTTGCTTCCGGAAGGAGCCAGCAAAGGCTCACATTGCTTCGTAACCAACTGGCATGCTGCAACTGTCTGATACCCCACATATGGAAAGATGTCGAACAGAGGCCTGACGCGGATATTCAGGCCCGGCTTCACTTAGCGCGGGCACAATGCTTGCTGGGGGCCACAGCCCAGAACATTTTCATGTCTGTAAGGGCCCCATGAGGGCTCAATCCTCGCATAAGACCTTGTTTCGAAAAACAAAAACAAAAACAAAAAACAAAAAAAAACAAAAAAAAACAAAAAAAAACAATGCGATCAAAGAGGGCGAGCAAAGGAAAGACTTTGTTTGAAGAAGGGAAAAAAAAAAAAAAAAATGCGATCATTGATTCATTAATAATTATGCAATTATTCGAAACTAGCTGTAATGTCAGGGGCAGGAGTTCTTATGCACTGAATTTGACGGCAGTTTCTACATTTGCTGTGACCACTTGCTTCGATTGACTACGTGTGTCTACTCTTTGCCTCTTGTTGCTGTTTGCTTCAAGACCGAAAGATACGTAGAGGTCGACTAGATCACATTGAATAGGATTCTGCGGTCCCCATCGAGTTCGTCCCAATTGGGTTAAGTATATTGCATCTGGTGTGACTGGCTGCTGGTCTGTGCTTTGATTTCTAACTTTTAAGTGAAACAGGTTATGGTGTATAGCACCGGTAGGATATACAACCGGTAGGATGCTCTGCGAAAGACTGTTAAAGGGCTCGGTCTCCTGACAAACCAGCGAAAGTCTAATTGAATCCATCTGTCAGCACCCTCCCCCTCCTTTTATCCTTTTCGGACTTTCTTCTTTCCGTCAAACGATTCACCGGTCAGTTCTTTCTGATGATACAAAACATTGCCACGAATAACTTGAAATAAGAGTTAGCAAGTCAAAAACTAACCAACCAACCCAAAAAAAAAAAAAAAAAAAAAAAAAAAAGAACTAGTCGTGAGGCATCGATGGCATGGGGAACAAAGCGAAGGAAAGGGACATTGCGGCCGCTTGTTCCGTCAGACTTTCACTGAGTCATCCCGCGAGGCAGAACCCTCCACCCACCCACCCTACAGAAAACCAACTCTAGCCATCCCAAACCCCAACCAGCCCAACCACCAACCAACCAAACCCCCAACTGACACAACCCTCAACCGATGCAACTCACCAGGCCCCAACCAACACGACCCTCGACCAACCCAACAGTGGCACGGGCTACCCTATAGACGCATGTGCTACATATATGGATGGGGTCATGCATGTTTGTGTGTGTGGAGTCCGTGGACGGTGTGAATGACATTTAAGATATATATTGGGGGAGAGCATCAACGCATCTTCTTGAGACCAAAAAGACCTCACAAGCAAAAAAAAAAAAAAAAAAAAAAAAAAAAACACAAGCATGGTAGCTAGCTGTCCACACCTACCTCCTCCAGGTACACATCCAATGTGTCTTCTGTGATAGTGGGATCAGTCACAAAATCGAAAAGTTCGCGGAGATACATCGTTTCCACGCCTTTCTTTTGGAAGAAGTCCTGCATGTTCACAGCGAGAAAACAGCCTGATTGTCAGATACAAAGTGCGGCCACTTTCCATGGGCATATCTATAGATGGATGAACGAATGTACATATCGGTAGATCAGCGAAATCCATCACGAAGGTGCTGGAGTACCATTTCAAAGGTCTTTAGATCATTTGTTGATTTGAACCTGGAATCCCCACTGCATGGTTTGCAATCCATTGAGTATCTGCACCTGGTTCACGCGTATCCTTGCCTGAGCATACCACCTGCTTTAATCTATACCTGGTTCACCTTTATGGTCTTCTATCTAGATTTGAACCTGAAATCCCCACTGCATGGTTTGCAATCCATCGAGTATCTGTACCTGGTTCACGTGTATCCTTGCCTGAGCATACCACCTGGTTTTGTCTCTCTCTACCTGGATCACCTTTATGGGCCTATATCTAGATTTGAACCTGGAATCCCCACTGCATGGTTTGCAATCCATGAGGATCTGTACCCGGTTCACGTGCATCCTTGCTTACGCATACCACCTGGTTTTGTCTCTCTCTACCGGGTTCACCTTTGTGGTCTTAACACCGTCTCACCTATACAAGTAACCCGCCTGCTCTTTTTCTTCGCAGCTCTACGAAGGGCAAGTCGTTGCTCATTACAAGCCCCACTGCAAATCTCCAACCATTTTCTGCAGTCCTGGGCTCTCTCTTGTAACCAGAGACTTATAACAGACTTTTAACCACAGGTTCTAACCCCAAGCCTAACCCGATGTACCCCAAGCTCTAAGCCAAGTTCTAACCAGACCTGTGACAAGATTTCTACCTTCTTCCCCAGAATAGAACGTATGGTCATTATAGCTGTATCTAGACTGAAAGATGCCTCAAATGCAGCTATAATGACCGTACGTTATATTCGGCGGAAGAAGGTGGCCCGAGTTCTAACCCATGTCGTAAGCCCAGTTCTAACCTCCTGATTGCTAATCCCAGTTGTGACCTGAGTTGTAACCCCGATTCTAACCCAGGTAGACCTGCAACTACCGTCTTCACCCGAATATAACACCCGGTCATTATAGCCGTATTTGGCACCATATTCTGTCCAGATGCAGCGATAATGACGGGGCGTTCTATTCGGAGTGAAGACGGTAGAGTTCTAACC